AATGTTAAATATAGAAAAAGTTCAACTTCCGGTTTACTAAGGTAAGGTTATATCCAATGGCTGTTTTGTATTCAGCCAACATAGAAATAAATTATGTTAATTATTGATTTATGTTAAGTTGTCAATTGTATGGCCAGTAAGCTCATACAGGTGTATATTATCCTGGTGTCATTATTCCAAAACCTTACCTTGTATAGGCAGTTTCGCTGTAACTCGCCAGCCTGGTCAACATTATTCTATTCATGCTTCGATTCAGCACATATTACCAACGAAAGCCAGGATGCCAAACACAGACTATACATGGCGTTCTTGTTCTTCCTTTTAACCAGTCTTAGATATTTGACTATACGAAACCAGATTACTGCCGCTGCCCTCATCAATCTAATAGCTTGGTTAACTATTGTTATGCGTAATTGCGTTATGCTTTCGAGAGAGTTGAATTTCACACATCCGCATCAGTAACCGACACATAGAATCTTAATTCATTATTAACTGGTCATGAGTAAATTGATATTTGTCGCGCCTTGTCTCAACGGCGCACTAACAAATTTGGTAACGATTCGATCACAAATTTGTTTAACCCAAGGGCAAATCATTCACCTACGTTTGACATTTTCAATAAAAATATGCAGTGTTTGCCTCTGTTCAACAACACAATGCATGCACGTGCACAACAAATAAATAATCTTTCTGCTTTTACAGTAAATAATAAAATATAATATAAGCAAACGTGTTACTTGATGCAGAGACCAGATATAAATGAGAATATGTAAAAAAATATAGACTATAAAAATGTCTGTACCAGTGTAGGTACGTAGTACCAATGTGAACTTGTTGTGTTGAGTGGTTATATTACTACCTGAAAAATAACAAGCAGAAACTCGACGTTTAATAATATAATAGTAATATAATATAACCAGTAATATAACCACTCAACACAACACTGAGTTAAAAAAATATAGAGACTATATCATGCACAGTATCGGAATTTCAAAGCATCGTATAATCTATGAAGTATAGGTAAAGTTGATTGACTTGATTCAGATATAAAACGCCTAATTACAAACAAATCAATCTGTCTGGAAAATAGTGTATACCTATGACATGGATGTGCGTATTATTTTAGTGTGGATATAGCTGTATGAGCAGTACGCATACTGCACGTCACTCAGTTGGTTACTTGATGCACAGCTGGCATCCTCTTGTTGCCAATTGAAATTAAACATGAAACGATTAAGAAGAAGAGTGCATGCATGTTTTTCTATTGATTATCAAAATTCGCTTAAAATAAAATTACATGAGCAAAGCGGAAAATACAATACATTTACAAGAAGTGGGCTAGAGGCCTACTATTAATAGAAACATGTGGCTTTTAATATTTGCTTCCTTGTATATATTTGTAATCACACAATATTATACATTTAGTTCCATAGTTATAAGGTTTAGGCTGGCCCTTCCTTATATATTCACATAGGCATTCATTAAGCAGCCTAGCATTAACGACTAGCTATAGAGCAACAATATGACTGAAATAAATAATATGAAGTGTGATGTTGCCTTATTGGCATCTTTTCATGTTATGCAGTGTTGTGCAGCGTGATAGGAAACAACTGCATTACACGTCATAAAAAGTGACATTAATTAGATTAGTTACAATTGTAAATTCGTCACATTGAAATCATTAACTCTAAATAACCATCATGGAAGGTGAACAAGTTACTGCGGAAAACATGGACAGTTTGGCCGAAAATGTGAGTACTTTTCTAAACGTTGGTTGTGGATGCTCGGGAGGTCTAAACGGAAATCCATGTTCGAAATCCTTTTCAAAAGAAAGAATGCTTTTTAACCTTAACAACTGCTTAGAAATAAGTAGAGAGGAACTTGACCTTGTGATTTTGGCAAACATACAAGCATCTACACATGGGCATAATGAGAAAGTTGGTGTGAAACGAAGTAGGAGTCCCCGATGTTTCTTCACTTTCAAGTCAATGCCCATATGCAAAAAAATGTTCCTGCAACTCTATGGTATAAGTGACAATCGCTTTCGTTCACTTAAAGAACATTACGATACCTTCGGTATTTACCCTAGAACTCATGGGAATAAGAAAAGATTGCCGAGCAACACTTTGCCTTATTCTACTGTTGCAGATATAAAGGCATTTATATCAAATTATGTAGAAGAAAATGGGGTATTGTTGCCCGGTAGAATTCCCGGCTACAAGAATGACGACATTAAGCTGTTATCATCATGCGAAAGCAAAATGAGCGTATGGAGATGCTATAACAAGAGCTGCGAAGCAGCAGGAAAGACCTCTGTAAGCTATTCAAAATTTGTCGACCTATGGAAGGATCTCTTCCCTAACGTCGTTGTGGCCAAACCCATGACAGATTTGTGCGCAGTATGTCAAGAGAATACGACAAAGCTTCAGCGCTCAGCGAATTTATCCGATGAAGAGAAATCGGCATGTGTTAAGCTACATCAAGAGCATTTGGATAAAGCCAAAGCTGAACGAGAATGCTACAGGAAGGCTTGTAAAGAAGCAGAAGACAATTTTGCATCCATTGAACAAGAATTTGACTTCACAGAGAATCACAACTCATGCTCGCTCGAGAAGACAATGCACTATTCGTTTGACTATGCCCAACAGGTGCATATACCAAGCAATCCAATGCAGCCTGGCCCAATCTACTTCAAGACGCCACGAAAATGCGGGATTTTTGGTGTTACATCTGAAGCTGTTCCCCGACAAGTAAATTTTTTGATAGATGAAGCTGTTTCAGTCGGAAAAGGAGCCAATTCAACCATTTGCTACTTGCACTATTTCTTAGAGCATCGTGGCTTTGGCGAAACTGATGTGCATTTTCACGCAGACAACTGCGGTGGGCAAAATAAGAACAATTTCTTTTTGTGGTACTTGGCTTGGAGAGTTACAAATCATCTTCACAGGACTATTATATATTCATTTCTCCTAGCGGATCATACTAAATTTGGTCCAGATCGTGGTTTCGGCTTGTTAAAGAAAGCATTTAGAGCTACCTATGTTTCGTCCCTATACGAATTCGGATCAGTCGTAGAAACATCGAGTTCCATCTGTTTCAATAAAGCCCAGCTTGTGGGAACACACAATGGTAAAGTCATTGTTCCTGTTTACGATTGGTCTACATTTCTTGGTCAGTACTTCCGAAAGATTCCTAACATCACAAGATTCCATCACTTTCGTTTTGCCTTCGATGAGCCGGGAATTGTTTATTACAAAGAGTTCATAACTTCAGACGAACATAAAATGAATTTATTGAAAAAGGAGACCATTTTACCACCTGACCTTCCGCCAAAAGTTGAGACAAAGGTTGTTTCAAAATAGCCTGATTTACCAGTCACAATATTAACGCGCCCACACTTCATAGTCAAGTGAATCGTATGCGAAAATGTGGAAGAACCCAAGAAGTTCGGACGCTTACAATAATCAAAACGATTCTGCCATTTTGGATGCAAATTATTTTCGTATTAATTAATACGAAAACCACCCTGCAATTTCTGCCGAGGCCAGATCGCGCATTCTTTAATATTTAAAATACAGCAATAACAAACACACGTTCTCCATTTAGCCTATAGTACCTAAAACTGTTACAAAATCCCAGGAATAGATTTTTCATTTAATGGATTTTTAGGTCATTAGATAATAGTGATTGATCTGTCCACTACAGCAAACAACCATGTGATACTTTTCTGAGTGTGATTGCGCAGTGATTGGCTTAGTATCTAACACAAGCTTGGCATGACGTGCAAGCAAGGACGCTAATCTGTTGGCGGTGGTAATCTTCAAGCACAAGCGCTATCACAAGCATATTTATTAAACACTGCGGCTATTTAAAAGACTGAAACCGCGGCAAGCTCGCGGATGTAGATTTTAAACCAGGCATCGTTTAACATTCCAGAAACCTTTGCTCAAATTCGTTGTTGCAGTATTTCTTCGCAACACATTCGACGCTACTCTAATAAAATTGCAAACATATTTAATATTGTGAGTCATTGTGAATGGTGACGAACTTATATAAACTGCATGCTGTTCGTCTACTAAGTAATTATCGTTTTTTTTGTAAATCCTTTTAGACAAGCTTCTCCAGATAAACTTTTAAATGCCTATACAAAGCCGGCTTAAATGCCTATACAATGCCAGCTTCAACGACTCCATTAACGTATTTAAACGTTTTGATTTTTGTGCTAATCGTTCAGACGGTTTTAGTAGAATTTTTCAAACGTTTTTGTCTACCTGCGTTCATGCATGCATGGTTCATTAAGAATTCTGAACGATCTCAACTGATATCGTTTCTGATATTATTATTACTGAAATTTATGCAGGAAACGGAATCTCTGGTAAATGTTATATTAATATGATTTAATTCTGTTGTTCAAATTTCCCATTTGTTGCACACAGCTACAGTACATATGACTGTGATACTGTATATAGGAGGGTCTTCCATGATACCTTGGTCTTGAAGAATTTCTTTTTGAAATAATTTGCCAACTAGTTTGATTTCATCCATTCTTATCTATATACACATGCTAATAATTCGATTCCTAAAAGCAGCCATGCAGGCGATCACAGGGTAACATGTCCTCCCTATTAGGCGAGTACACCTCCACGACGCCAAGCCATTTTAAGTGTAAGCTCTTCCTTTTCTTACGAATCAACATGATTGTCTTGAGTGACAATTATGTTAATATTTGTTTACGTCAACGCCACAAGGTGAAGACAGGATTATATATCCTGTTTTTACAGCAGAAACATTATTATTATGACCTGTAGTTCATTGCATTCCATTCTTTGCACCCCCATCTTATAGTTGCACGGCTACATTATTTTGCTTAAATCGCTTGTGAAAAAACATAGTTGGACAATATGTCAACAAGTCAACGTATCAGAATTATTTGGAAGACTAATTGCAAATGGAGGGAGACCGATTATTTTGTGGAAAGAAAAGAAGTCAAGCCAATAAATATGGCAAATAACGACGACTGGACCAAAGTTTTATTAAAAATAGGCGATGCTGTTAAGGTCAAATATGGAGGCCGTTGGTACAACGCGCAAATTGCGGAGTTTTGTGATGAAACGAGTAAAGAAGGTTTGTTCCATTTTCCATTATTATATTATTTCAAAGTTTATCTTGTTTAAAGCACTGGTATAAATGGGTGGTATTATTTTACTTAGTGGCAGAAATCGAGTGCGGTGCTGTGGAAGTCGAGTGTGGCAGCGAAGAAAATGACGTCGACCATTATAAAAAGTTCAAGAAACAGCAAGCTAAGCGGGAACGTGGATGGAAGGAAAGCCCGGCAGAAGTTCAAAAGGCGAAACTGAAAAAAATTGAAAACCAGGAGAATACCGACGTAACGACCCCTGAACTCCCAGGATGCAAGGAATGTGAAATACTGAAGGCAAGAGTCGCCGAATCGGGAAAAAACCCCGATTGGGAGTACTTGACTAAGGTAACCATGCATGTAGCTCCTTAATAAGCATGCATGCCAAGTGCTTGGGTTTGTATAATTAGAGCTATAATACACCCCGCTTGAAGGAAACTCAGGCAACCACAATATTACAAAGTATAATATCATGAAATTTCTGTGTATTAGTTAGCGCATGCAAAATCGCTTTCCTGATTCGGGATAAGACCCTCACAGAGAGTGCAGTTCAACAGCTAAATACCAGCGAACTTTTTCATGATATAATTGCTTGTAAAAAACAATTGCTATATGTGTTGAAACGATTGTACGAAGGCTGCACCTGCTATCACACAATGGATATAATATTATATTTTCTGCATTTGAAACTGCCCCATATCTACTATCTTGATAACATTCTTATCAAGCGTTTAATTGGTGTATTTAACCGAAAAACAACAAAAATAATTCAGGCAAAACATGATGTGTATCACAAATGCTCCCACATATGCTTGCATTCACCATTTATGAAGTATATTATATCCAACTGTAACAATTGAATTGTGTTATAGTAATTGTTTATAGTGGTTTTGACTGACCCTATAGCTAATCGAAACTATTATGTCTATAGACGGAGGCAGACGAAGTTTTATTGCATTATATTTTCAGATGATCCTCGAGTTGAGCAGCGTCATGAAAGAGCATAATGAAAACGTGGAAAAGCGTCTCAAATCTTTGGAACAAATTGTCAAATCACAAATGCCAGTAAGCTTTGATAACCATTTTGTATAGCACTATAATTATAAACAAAATGAATGTGCTTCCATAACTGTCTTCATACAGCCTGCACACGTTGCATTTACGCAATGTACTTTATTTTAGATTATAGACAAAATGAATGATAGCACAAAGGAATCTTTTAAATTGTTAGAACAGCGCTTTGAATCTTTTGAAGGGAGAATCAAGAGTCCACTAAAAGTAAGTCATTGTTTGAAGTACTATTTCAACAGAAACAAGTTTGAGTGTTTGATCACAGTATCAAAACACAAGAAGCTAATGAATATCGAGGGGCGGAGCTCCGGGAGATTCATTAGCCTTTGAGTGTTTTGATACCGTGATCAAACACGCAGAACGAGTTTTTGAAATGGCTTCTCAAATGAGTCAATCAGCGACTGTTTTGGGACTTGCGGTTGGAAATATCAGTATAAATGAAACACAAGTGTTTGATCACTTGATGATGAAACACTAGACTTGCTCCAAGTCTGTCTCTTAATGGTCGAACATTGCAATAATCGAAAATTATAATAATTGATAATTCGCATTGCAGGCGAGCAAAAAAAAGCGGGCGGGAGAAGCGAATTTTCAATTATTATAATTTTCGATTATTATAATGTTCAACAATTAAGAGGCAGACTTGGAGCAAGTCTAATGAAACACTAGTGTTTGATGCATGCTTTACCGGGTATGAAAGGCCATTCACGTGATGGAATGCAGCTTTGCGATTGGGTAAAATGCTCATTAATTATTCATGATTTGAAAATGCTCATGATGCAACCTCGAGTTTTAGTTTTTTTAGTGAGAAGTGTTCCTAAGGCAGTCAACACCTTTGCCTTCATTAATTTTTGGGAGATAGAGACGGAATATTCCATATTGGTTGCTAAAAAAAAATGTGTTGCTCATATATGTTTCATTGCATTGCAAATTGTATATTTGATAGACAAATATTTTGGGGGAAACGACTTTATGACTCGTTTATGACGATGATTCATATGAATGTCATGTGCAAGTTATGGCAATGTATGATCACATTATTTGTGTTGTAACCTTGCTTTCTGCATGGGCGTTTAATTGTATATCTGTTTGTTCCAGCTCAACAGTACATTTGAAAGTTTCAATGACGAGTTGGCGCCACCAAATGAAAACGCGGAGATATCAACAATCGATTTGGACAGTTTCAGACGCTTATTAGATACTTCTCTTGATGGCATTCCACCAACATTAACACCAACATCAACATCAACATCAACGTCAACGTCAACATCAACCGAAATATCAAGCAAGTCTGTGGAATGTTCTGATCCAGACAGCTCAAACAATTTCCGAGCGTTGTCGGAAGACTTGATAAAAAAATTTGTCACCCCAAGTAAGGTTGGAAAAGTACGTGTGGCCATGGAGAAAGAGAATGATCCGCGAAAATGTGCTCTAAAACTTCTGCCCAACATTTTTTCCAACGATGACCTCAAAGACAGCATTGTGGATGGCAGTCACGGAAAAAAAGCTCTTGATCCTGCAAAATTAAATTCTCTAAAAGGTGGGTATTTCTAACACATGTTCAGGAACGAGTTCAGAGAGGTGGCAAATCCTGAAAATACTTTCCCCTATGCGATATGCTGTAATATACTGCAATGAATTTTCGAACGGAAAAAACTGCTCTTTAAGTGCGATGTGAATACGACTCATAAAAATAGCTAAGCCTGTTAAAGGGGGAAGCGACTCACTAAGCAGCATTTTCGCAACAGATATGGCTATAGAAGGCCATCTAAATGTTCGCGTTTACCAACTATTTTTCCGATACGTATACGATATTTAATTTCCAATTACGATATGTATATATATATATATATATATATATATATATATATATATATATATATATATATATATATATATATATATATATATATATATATATATATATATATATATATATATATATATATATATATATATATATATATATATATATCTATATCTATCTATCTATCTATCTATCTATCTATATATCTATATATATCTATATCTCTATGTCTATATCTATATCTATATCTATATCTATCTATATATATATATATATATATATATATATATATATATATATATATATATATATATATATCTATCTATATATATATATATATATATATATATATATATATATATATATATATATATATATATATATATATATATATATATATATATATATATATATATCTGTATATATATATATATCTGTATATATATATATATCTGTATATATATATATATATATATATATATATATATATATATATATATATATATATATATATATATATATATATATATATATATATATATATATATATATATATATATATATATATATATATATATATATATATATATATATATACTATATATATACTATATATATATATATATACTATATATATATACTATATATATATACTATATATATATATATACTATATACTATATATATATATATATATATATATATATATATATATATATATATATATATATATATATATATATATATATATATATATATATATATATATATATATATATATATATATATATATATATATATATATATATATATATATCTCTATATATCTATATATATATATATATATATATCTATATATATATATATATATATATATATA